GGAAGGAAAGAGAAGACATGAATGAATAGGAATCTGTGTAAGAGGGAAAAAACCAGAAAGGGATGGAAGGATAAAGAGAAGACAAGAAGAAAGATTGAAGGGTGTCTGCTCTTAAGGAGGGTGGGAGAGAACAGGGATGAGCAAATAAGTTTCAAAGTAAACAGGAAAAAAACCCCAATCAATACAGAGATAGGAATAGAAAGATCTAAGTGCAAGAGTGTAAAAGGTTGAAGAATTATCATCAGACTTTCTAGAAAGGACAGGTTAAAGAAACCTACATGGATAATGGATGAACATAGGAGCAAACAGGGTGGCAACTGCTGTTTTCCTCTTAGGTCATCCCTTATTGCAGTTTTGAAAGATTTGAAAATTTTGATATATTAGAGAAGATACTTTTTCTGAAGTGAACTGCTTTCACATGTAAGCCTAAGAGAATGATGGTTGTTTATGAAAGTGCTGAGTTGTTCTTTTCCAGATCTAATGGCTTATACAATTTTGAGTAGATCTGATTGCACTTGGGTACCTCAGAGAATCAAAACCAAGATCAGCAGACGTAGGGAAGCCTTTCTTTGCACTTATTTATGTTTGGTGTCTGTTTTTAGTATATAGGAGGTGGCTTTTAACCAGATGTAAGATTTTTCTTTTGTCAGGCCACTTCAAATGGCTCACTTACTTGTGGAGCCTCTGGTGTCTCACACTGTAGTTGTTATCTCAACTGGGTCACTTATCAGCTCACTCTTCTACCTGCCATCTAGTGTGTTCTGGTTTTCTTGGAACTCCTAGAAAATCTATGCCTATGAGTTCTCTCTCCTGCCAGGTGAATTACTCTTCAGACTAGGTATCTATTTTGTATAATGGGAACTTAAAAGACATGTAGCTCCTATATAGATGCATACATGGTAGATGCATAATGAAAGTATCTTAGTCTTGAATTGACTTCCACTTTGTATAATGAATAGGTTTGCTTCACACATTTTCCAGTGAGAGACTTCCATAAGTATTCCAGCAATACAGTAATGGCAGTGTTGGAAAAACCTGCCTTAGGTCATGCTTCTTACTCTATGGGATCTGGAGTACAATAAATTCACAGCAATTGAAATCAGCTGCCAAAATATATATGTTACTTAAAATTGGAACAAAAAGATGGCTTTGATGTCTCTCATTGGATAGAGGTTTATAATGAGTTTGTTTCCATTGAAAGCATTCTTATTATGGCCAGTTTCATGTCATGTGTAAGATAGAGGTATGTGACATGATCTTTGGAGCAATGAAAAATATACTAAGGTATTATAATTTGAGTTTCTCGCTAAGTCCTTTTTCTCTAGAATTGAAACTTTGCTTGACAGAAGTAGAATCTGTTCTTTCTCAGGGGAGGCTTTTGACAATGCAAATGCCCCATAATGAATGTAAAGAGGTTTAGCAGAGCAAAAAATTGGAGGTATAGTATTTTCTTCAAAGAAAAGTGTAAGTATTCACAAAGGCCAAATTTTCCAGAAGTGTTCATTATTTTTGGGTTCTCAATTTGAGATACTGTGGATTCACTTGACTGGGTAAGTTTGCTTCTTATCATATGGTGGGGTTGTTTTTTTGCTTTAATTTGAAAATTATTTTGTCTGTCAGATACTTTGGTGTTGTTCCTCCTGTCTTTTCTTTCCAGTTTGACCTTGGTCTTTTACCTGTCTAGAGTTTTCCTTGTTTTCTCTTTCTTCTTTTCATCTTCAGAATTATCAACTGACATTATGATTAGGTGGTTTATTCTTTTTACTGATATACTGATTTCCACATCAATTTATATGCAGAATGCTGTATTTTGGCCAAAATTCTTTCAAAAATTCCAAAGGCTAAATACTTTTCTGGCTTGATGCTAATCTGTGCTTGAGTACAGTAGTAGGAGGCTAAGAAACACAATAATGTCATTGAGAAAAAAAAATCTAAACTGCCTGTTTATTCAGCTCAGGGATTCTGTGTTACTCGAGTGAGTTGTGTTCAGTGATTTCTTTGCCTGTACCTTTGATTATTCCTTGTATTTGTTTCCTCTTTCAAAAAAGTATGTGAATGTATGAATCCCAAAAATACATTGGATCTGTATGGGCATTTTTGTCTGCTGCCTTTTGATGACAGGCTGACAAGTTTGCTCTTTGAGGTGAACCTGGGCACGAATCCAGACTACAAGGTAGCTGAAATACTGTTTTCCTGTGCTTTCAGTGCATAACCTAAATATTTTAACTAACAAATATAACACAGTTTCAGGTGTGGTAGCCTGACATGTAGCTCAAAGGTGCTGACGTGGCAGTTTGGATCAAGGGGGCTTTGACTACTGCTCACGTGCTCAGATATTCTGCCTTGAAAAGTTTTCTGATAGCTGCAGACAAGGAGTTCTGGGCAGTAGTGCCAACACATGTTGAAAACACTATATGTTTTCAAGAGACAGTAAAACCCCATTGTAAATCAGCAGTCATTCAGCCTGCTATTTTGTAAACTGGTGGAGCACTGATACTGTGCAGCCCTAACAGCAACTCCTTTGTTTAAGTACAAAAGCTGAAGGGAAGCTGCAGGAACCTCTGAACAGAGAGGCACTGAGGAATGGACAGTGCTGGCTGTTTTCCTGAAGATTAGTTGAAAGACGCACATCTTTTTGTAATTTTGCTCTGTGGCTTCTGCATGGCTTCCAATGCTGGCAAACCTGCAATGGGCACTGACGTCGTGACACCAGGATGCAGGATTTGTCCGTCATTTCTCTATCTGTCCAAGTGATCCCATGCAGCCAGGAAGGGCACTCCTAAAATGTTGGTGCTTTGCTGAGAAGCAGAGCCCGGTGTTACATCTATGCTAGTAATGCATGCTCATGCTGTAGTGTCCTCCTAGTTCTGTAAAACTGTGTAGCTGTCATGGAGGGAAGTAATCATAAGAAAAGCTACATATATGCCACTCTTCACAGTTTTCTTACCTCTCCTCATGTAAGTCATCTCCATATTATCATCTAGCCAGTTTTACTTTTCTTCATGCTCTAACTTCTGTGAAAATAACACATTTCTCCTTCCTCAAGTGCTACATTAGAGGTGCTCTTCCTTACCTTACCTTACCTTGCCTTGCCTGGCAGAGTACCTTGCCTTTCCCTGTGCTTACTTTTTTTGTCTCATATGAGCTCTTAAATGGCAGCAGGTATCTTCCAAGGGGTGTCCGAAATCAAACAGCTTTGATTATAAAGGTTGTGCAGACATATTTTACATATAGATGCCTCAGTTTAGGAGTTTAGTCTGCTAGCTGAGTCCTATCCATGTTTTTTTGATGGTGTTTTTTGTTTTGGTTTGGTTTGCTTGTTTTTGTGTGATGCTGATAAATCTGTCTTCACTTTAGTTGCTCTCAGTGGGTATGCTGGTAACTTTCATTCAAGACATTGTCTAACCTAGATTCAAGGAATCTTTCCCACATCAGAGAGGTGTGTTCAGGTGCTGAGCAGTACAGAGACTTTAGACTGGTTTGAGTTAGTAGTTCCATTTATAACTCCTGAGCTTCTTCAACACATTTTTCCAGCAACTAGTCTTACTTTCTGTCTTTTCCATGTGTATCAAGAGCAGCAGGCAAATGCCAGTTCTAGGTAAATGGAATACTATGGGAGATGGGTCAAAACCCATTTCAGACTATGTGGTATTGCTGATTGGCTTTGTACTTCCAAAAATGAAGTAGAATTATATTTTAGTTTGCCTGGCAAATAGTAATTTTTTAATATAAAGACTGGAGAACCTGAAAGTGCTGATGACAATCTCTGCAGTGTGCATGAATTCCTTAGCTGTGTTATGGCAGTAAGTTTGCTGCACAGATAATAGACTTCTTGTGCCAGAATGATGTGTTTGGACACATCCATGGAAATATTGAATGGTGCAGACACAACCACAGCACAATGTTTTCATTATACATACTTACAAATACATCTAAATAGTTTTAATGTGTAGGGGGAGGTAGAGAAAGCTTTCAGTGAAGCAGAAGGACTTGCCGGTTTTTATTTAGTATGGTGGAGCTGGACTAATAACTCTTGCTTCAGACTCCTCTCCTGACTTATCACTACTTTACTTTGATTTATTAGTTTTATTCTTCTAGCATATAAGGTTTGTACTGTGGGCAAGAGCTGCAGCATGCTATCAGATTTTTAAAGTAATTTTTGTTGATGTCCTGAACCAAACCACTTGCCTGCATGTCTGGTGTGCATATTGATCTTAAAGACTGTCTCGCTGTCTCCTGCCGGGTGGGTAATAAATGCTTGGCTGTGGCAGTTCTGAAAGTCTAGCATCCGGAGCAGCCCCAAAACAACCTCTGGTGTAATGATGGGGAAAGGATTAGAGAACAAATAAGGAAGCCTCACCCTTTAAAAACAATTAAATAATTTATTTTACATGCAAGAGGGCTATTAGGAGGGGAACCCTTCTCCTCTTGCCACTCGTATATTGAAAGCACAAGCGGTGGAGCTCTGCGGTCAGCGAGTGGAGTCTCCATCCCAAGCAGTTCCTACCAGGTTTATTAATTTTCATCAATTATGCATCTATATCCACTTAATTTTCTACTGCTGCTGCTTTAGCAGAAGGTATTGTTTTGCAGTGAATGAACTGAAAAGAGAAGGGGTTTTCTCTTCTATTTATCACCTGTTTTCAGGGTTTTGTTGAAAAGAATGGACCTGTTTCTCCAGCCACCTCAGCTAAAACGAGACCATCGATTTCTCAAAGCTCATGAAAGACCTGGAGAAATAAATCCAAGGCATTCACTCTCCTGACAAGCTGCCAGAGCTCACAGAACTTACTCTCGCTCTGGCATCTTTTCTGCCCTTGATGTCATGTGCAAAACACGAGGATCTGTGCCGTGCTAATCCCTCTAATGAGGGCTTCTCCCAAACTCTATATAAGCCCCACTCAAAGCCGTGGCTGCTGGGCAGGCACTGCAGAGCCAAAGCTCCAGTCTTTTGAACCACATTCAAGGCAATTAGAGGCTGGGATTAACCAAGCACCCGACACCAGCACCCTCAGCAGTGAGAGGGATTATCCCGGTCGGCCGGGGCCAGGTTGTCCCACAGCAGAGCTCTCCCTGCTCTGCTTGCTCAGATCCAGCAGAGAGGCAGGGCACCCACTCCTCATGGATGCCCTGAGGTGGCTCTTGTGGGCTGGGCTGGGCTACCTGAGCTGCTGCTGTCCCCCCCGGGTGCAGGCGCAGTTCCCCCGAGCCTGCATGACTGTGGAGGCCCTTCGCTCCAAGCGCTGCTGTCCAGCCTTGGGGATGGAGCCAGACAACATCTGCGGGTCCCTGCAGGGCAGGGGACAGTGTCAGGGGGTGCAGGTGGACACTCAGCCCTGGAGTGGGCCCTACACGCTTCAAAATGTGGATGACCGGGAACGGTGGCCCCTCAAGTTCTTCAACCAGAGCTGTCGGTGCACAGGTGAGAGGGGTGCTGGGGTAAGGGCACAGGGATGGGTGGGTCTGCTAACCTTCCTCTGAAGGCCAGAAACGTCTCTGATGGCATAAGACATCAAAAAGTCTTCAAATATTATCAGTTTCCTAAAAACGCTATCATGTTCATGATACCATCAGTACTTTTTCAGAGCAACAGAGTTGGAAAAGTGTTTTCTTTCATGCAGACTTTTGGGCTTTTCTCTTTGCCCCTTGAGTTGTTACTGTAGCCACCTATCATCTATCTCTACAAGGTTTTAGACATTTCACTGCTGCATTTAAACCTCTGTCACTGCTAATCGTGGTGCAGTGAACCTGGATCAGTGTGCACTGATCAGAGACTTGTTCCTCTTGGAGTAGTACTTTGCAGCATGATATACTCCTGTGCACTGAAAATGTGTGGATATCTGGCCAGGCTGTTGCCCAGGGTTATCAACTAAGTCTACAACTTACTTTGATCTGAAGTGAATCTGTACAAGCTCTGAAGAGTCCATCCTGTCCTTCTACCCATCTCCAGCCACTCCTTCCCACCTGAGACTTCACATGAGCTTCCATGTTCACATGCTGCAGGTGAAACAGATCAAGGAGGAGGTGTGTTTGAAGGCTAACCTGGCCAAAAGGATCAGGTTTTAATAAGACCAGTTCACCCATGCTGGCAGGAGGGAAGGAGTTGGAAGGTGAGGTCATGGCAGGATATGGCAGCAGGACTCTTCTTCAGCAGCAGCTCTGGCTGAAGGCATGTTAAAATGAGCAGGAACTGCAGCTTCAGCCCAGGCTACTTTGCAGGGCTGGCACAAGATGGTACCAGAAGCCAGGCACATCTCTAGTACTCGAGTCACCTGGTAGGCAGGTTTCAAATCCAGCCTGGAATTTCTTGTTGGAAACATCATGTTGTCTGAATTTTCTAGCATGGGAAGAAGACCCTGCTTTCTTTCAACAGCTGAATTGTTTTGTTTAAAATATACCTTGGCTCTCACTATCAAAAAGCCCAGATCAATCTGAGAAAGAAGTTTTGCAGAAAATTTCCTCTCACAAGGTTAAGTTTTGCAGTGCTGTTATCAACTGAAAGCAGAGAGCTGGTAGCAGATGACTTGAATGGATAGTTCGCATTACTGAAGCTCCTCAAAATAATAGCAACAGACTTTAGAGTAGGAATTGTTTTGGTTTTTTTTTCTCTTCCTTTGACTAGATTTCAAATGCTTGTATGGAAGTACTTTTCCAGACACCTTGCAGAAAAAAATGGATTTTAATTTTATTATTATTTTTTTAAAAATGGAATATTACAGGTTCTTATATACCTTCAAAACTTAATGCAGGTATCACATATAGGCATGGACCCTGATTCAGAAGAGCACATGGGCATACACTGGTATTTGTGCAGTCTAAGTAATTAGGGCATTGAAACCTGGGAGTAATTTGAACAGCAGTTTAGACGGACGTGGTCTGCATAGGCAGACATTAATTTGCTTGTCCAAGTAGAGGTAAGCACAGGTTCTGATATTTGCAGGACTGGTTCCCAAGTTACGTGGCCAGAATACAGGGCCTTTTGTTTAGCCTTGCTTGCTTCTGTTGCACTGTCCGCTCTCCTTGGCTCTGTAAATCTGGTTTTTCTGGCTGTGTTTTTATTTCACTTCTATTCCACTTTCTCCTTGCAGTCTTTATAATCTGAATATACCCATGATCAAACATTAAGGTGGGGGAAATGATCAAGGATGATTTTCAGAAAGCTATCCTGGGCTCTATCAACTTGATACTGGATGCAGAGGCATT